AGACTTAGGGGTACTTGTAAGCCCGGACCTACGGGCTAATAAAGTAGTTGTGTCCCTGGAGACCTCACTTTGATTACGCGATTCAGTTCTGGTCACCGTACTACAAAATGGATATCGAATCCATAGAAAGCATTCAGAGCAGGATGAAAAAAATAATCCAGGACATTTGGGACTTTGAGTATAGAGACAAAATAAAGCATCTGAATTTGCACTCCCTCGAGAGACGTAGAGTGAGGGGTGATATGATAGAGGTGTATAAATGGAAGTCAGGGTTAAGCAAAGGTGATATAACAAAGGTACTCAAACTATCCAACCAGGAGCGAACTCATAGCAATGGTTTTAAATTAGAAAAATTTTTATTTAGGAGTTAGATCGGTAAACATCGGTTTGCAAATAGAGTAGTGGATGAGTGAAACAAGGGACCGAATTTTATCATTAACTCGAACACGCTGGGAAGCTTGTAAATATAGGTTGGACAGATATATGATCATTAGAGGTTGGGTGTAAACGGGGCTGCCTATATAGTATAGGCCAATCACTAAGGTTGTAATTATGTAGGACAAACAGGAAAAACACTGCAGCTCAGAATCAAACAACATAAGTATAATATCAGAACAGCATCTGAAAGCAGTGCCTTGTTCGATCATGTTAGGAATAATAATCACCCCATTGCTTGGGAAAAAAGCTTAGAAGTATTTAAATCATCTTGTGTCACAGAAAGACTTCTGGTTGAAGCTAGTTTGATTAAGGAATTAAAATCAATAAACCTTAGTGATGGTCAGTTCAAAACTGATAATATGTTACATAAATTTATTTGTCAGTGGCCCAAGGTTAAAAATGCTTTGAAAACCTTTGATCTAGATGTATGATAGTTATTTTGTGGGTCCCTTATTTTTGACCTGACCTGATTAGTCACGTCACCCCCTTCTCTTAAGCTCCTCTACGTGTGTGTTGGTGTGGGGATTAGTGGATGACATCATTATGACCTGACCTCATGTTTTTAAGGTCACCCTGTATATTTAAGCCTCTCTCTGTCCATGTAGTCCAGTTGCCTCTGAAGATGTCTTGAATAAAGACGAAAGCTAAGGTGCTCCGTTGTTTCCATTTTCCCGTGTGATTTTATCAAGATTTATCTTATCCACGTTTTCATTGTGGATTTACATGGATATATATATATATATATATATATATATATATATATATATATATATATATATATATATATATATATATATATATATATATATATATATATATATATATATATATATATAATAAAGTACGTATCTTTGTGTATAATTGTTTTCATGTGTGAGTGTGTGTGTGTGTGTGTGTGTGTGTGTGTTTGTGTATGTGTGTGTGTGTGTGTGTGTGTGTGTGTGTGGATTGGGACAAATAGTGGGGAAGTTCTTTTTAAAGTTTCAGGCGTACGCAGTGTTTTAGGAACAAGTCGTGGATAATGGCTAAAAACATAAGTCAGGGTTCAGTAACTGGAGCAGAAGTTGACCAGGGGTACGTAATGGGTAAGTCACATTAGCTTAACCTGCAAAATCTGAAGTTAAGAGGAGATGAGTTCTAGGGGCGTGTCAATCACCGGGGTGGCGGTGCATTAACCAAGAAGCATTGAATATTAAACTAACTGGACTCTTACATCTTACCAGATCTAAGGTTATAGTTCTGACCAATCAGGAACATTTTACTTTTACCCAAATGACCAATGATATTCTTCCGTTTCGCTGACTCCAACAGGTAAAACCAACGTCGTTGTTCCGGTGTAGCCATTTTTCGTGCACGCTTCCCATGGTCAAGTCTCCTGCAACTCCTGTTGTGACTTCATGTTCAGGACTCCTTTACTACTTAAGTGGTAAGTGCCCGTGAGTCGTGATTATGTACTCTTGTACATATGGATGGTTTTGTACACTAACCTGGGTCTCCTCTGCCCCATTAGTGTTTTTTAACATAAAATTGTATTTTGCCATTACTTAAAAGGCTCTGTCACCTTCAACTTATTCATAAGTGTACCATTAATTCCTTCTGTTCTTACTTCCGCCAAACATCAAGAAGAATACGCTTGACGTGTGATATGTTACAATTTGCAAGAAGAATTTAAAAGAGAACACTGTTGATGTATTACTTAGTGTTAAAGAAGAGGTGAATGGCTGAAAACGAGTAAGTAACAGTGGACACAACAAAGGAAACTGATCATACAATAATATACAATAAGTTATTAGTAGGAAATAAGAAAAGAGAAAGAACCTATTGTGGTGTGTGTGTGTGTGTGTGGTATTCTTCCCGATGAAGGTGTTCCAGCAAATGGAAAACTTAATGAGCACGCGAGAACAGTTGTGTTCACTGGGTGAGTGTTAACTACCTTCACCGACGTCATTAAGTGTGAGTGCCTATATTTTTCTTGCCATAAATGTTTCCTCATACTGCATTGCCATTAAATACGACTGAGTAACTTTAAGATTCAATTACAAATACTGATTATATAAAACTCCATGACCTTTCCTGGGCCACTAGCGATAAGTATATCAAACAAAAAGGAACTTTCACAATAATTTATCTGATATCATTAAATTTATAGAATAAAATATATTAGTCTCATCGGGTGCACAGTTATTAATATTTATAATACCAATTTGTTCAGGTATTGTCTTCCATATACTGATTTATGATGTTTTCTGTTCTCTTAGAGGATCATGAGAAGCAAACGTGGTATCGACCGTAGGTCTCTCGTGGATCATTCAAGGTTGATTCAGATGTGGGAGAAGGGAATGTCCGTCAGAGAGATAGCCCAGAAGAACAACACCAGCAAAACCACTGTGTACAGGTGGATAAACAGACAGCGACGGAGGGGCTACGGCGACAAAGGACCTCACTCGAGTAGACCTCGTGTGTCCACTGAACTTCCCTCAGGGTTTCCTTCCACCCCGGCATATAATATACATTCTTCATACCCCGGTTATCAGTCACACACAACCCTCCACCACTACCTACAGGCGAAAATATTCATTTTTTTCTTTATTTTAAGGATGGCCAACATGGCAAGATCAGACATCTAGATCAAAGCCGTTAGAGTCGAAGTAAAGATGTCACTCCCCGATGTCCAGCTTATAACACAAATTAGCTTCGAATATTGCCTGTAAAATGATATTATCAAAGTTGTTAAATAATACACAAAAACACGTCCCAGAAACAGGCTCACCGCTGTGTCATCCATCATAACAAATGGAGAGAGAGAGAGAGAGGGGCTGTTTCTCCATCACAGTAAAGGGTGAATGTCATGGACTCACGTTACCGTGTTAATATAAACATCAGTAACTACTAGCCATGGGACGATGGTGTTGTATCTCTTGTATGTAATAACCTCCTATAAAATGACTTATTGAACAATCAGAACATTATATTATTCCTTCTACATAAATTATCTCTTCAAGTGTACTACGGGCAGTTATAAGATGATACACAAATTACTACAAACGAGTTTATAATATTCAGATTCTTGCAGTAATGTGTCCTATGTCTATACAAGGAGAAACTGGATTTCTCTGATCAAATAATTTGGATTAATACAATCATGTACCTACATTACTTCAACACGATCCACAACTATAAAGGAGGAATTTTGTAGCTCTTCTTCAAATGCGCATTTACATCAATGTTCATTTATTTCATGCAACAACCTGAATATGTTTCTTCTTAATACAAGTATCTTTACTGTCTCCAATTATACAGACCTTGTAAATACTATGACTTTTTCATATTTTAAATTTATGTCCTCAGAAGAGATTGTGACAGCTAAGCTATTATAGCCCCGAGCATCACCACCTCTACTGAACAAGTTTATAACAACATCTTCAGGATTACACTTCTTTACGTATTTTCATTAATGCAGAGGAATTACAGTATATTTTTTCTGTAAATAAAATATATTTTCTAGATAAATTTCAGTGGCATTATTTAAACACTCTGGTGGTATTAATGATAGTAAGTGTAATTTTGCAGAAATAATTATATTTATGATAATTTTGAAAATAAATTAACTGTTTTCCGAGGAATTTGTGTTACTTCACGTTTGTTTAAGCAAACCTGAAACTTCCCTTCCATAAACACAAATATAGTTCTTTTCCTTAACATATTCTACTGGCTATCAGTGTGTGGCCGATGAAGCACGTTAATACATAATTTAACAACGGTTGTTGATGCTAGTCATTGTGAAAGTAGATACTATAGGACGGCCCGTCCTGGGTTCGACGAACCCTAAGCTTTCAGTACACAATAGGGCAATATGGTAGGCACTACACACCATTGCTTTCACTTGTTTTACATCTGTAAAGTAAGGCTACAGTTGGATAAAGTTGGGGTGCCCGGGAACCGAAAACAAATTCTTAGACCAGGAGCCGAGTGCTAAATCCGCTCGGCCGCCGCCCCCCTTCATCAGTGAAGCAAGAAGCTAACAAAATAATTACTATCCAGAAATGTATAAGGGTTGATGAATGATTTTGAAAACAAAAGAAAATGATCCAATGGAATAAAGATACTTGAATAAGTCGGGATGATTACTGGATGCATTCAAGGAATGGTGAGTCTTCCGTACAAGTGATGGTTCCACAGAGTTCCTTGTGGTTGAACTAAAACTCTGGGATCTTGACCACTCCCTCACAGTATCTCCAAATAATAGGTTAAAAACTAAATATTTCATTAAATCTTCAGCATCTCCCAAAAGTAGCACAAAAGAGGGGTGACTATAGTATTTCCACGCTAACTTGGCCCGTAAGCTACGCCCCTCTTCTATACTAATAGCTGATTGGTTCATAGAACATTCAAACTAAATGAGTTCACAATTGGTAATCAGATCTGTTATTATCTAAAATAATGTTAAATATCTGGACTATCAAGATTCAAATGATTTCAAGGCATTAGCACTTCCGAGATGATGTAAGAAATTTTTAAAATTTATCGTAAAAGGTCGATATAAATACGCGCTTATATACGCGCAGTCCGGGAGGTAAAACGCTGTGAGGAACCAATCAGCTATTTGTAGCTGTAAACGAGGGACAGAGCTGATGGGCCAGCTTAGCGTGGAAATACTTCTTTTTTAATATAGTTATGGCTCCTTTCATAATTCCAGGTACGAGGTGGACTATGAAGATGGTAGTGACTATGACACTGTTGTTATTGTTGTTAGTAATTGCTACCGTACTTTCTGCCGTCAGCCTGCCTCGCCCTGACGGTAAGAACATATTTTTATCCTATAATTTCTCAAAGTGTAGTCATTCATATCTTTTCTCCAACACCTAAAACGATTTTTGAGTTCCCTTCCTTTCCTATTCTTCTCAACTCATTGTAGGTAAATTTGTAATATTGTTTAGCCGATAATTTGTTGGACTGAAAATTAGGTCAGACGACTTGTTAGGTCCATTTCATGTTCGGGTTTTATTCGTTTTACATCTTTTCCCTTGTAAATGTCTCCTTCTACCTTGTATAGTAATGTTAAGTAGAGTGATGGTAAATAAAGTGTTGTAAAGTCACTAAAAAACCTGCATCGTGCATATATTCTCTCAAATATTACATCATGAACTGCTATTCGTACAATCCAGCGAAACTTCGAGCTACCACATTGCACCACTGAACGATGGGTGGGGGAAGTGATAGGGGGGGGGGGACGTTCGATATTAAGCCAAGGCTACGACTTCCATTGAGTCAGGCGTAGAGGAAGAGGGTGCGTTGAAACTATGGCGCATGAGTGTATAGTGCATATATCTCTAGCACACGATCATTTTGGAGATTTTACTACAAATTCTTACATATTAAGGGTTAATAAGAAGATATTTTATTCGAAGAATAAATGAAATGTGCTAGGTATTGTAATGACCCCTCAAAGTTCATTATTTAAATAATAATAATAATAATAATTAACGTATTGAAAAAGTTCTGCAGCCCGAAGGCTGAAAATATACATTGGACATAAATGACTTATTACATACATTGGTGGTTTAACAAAAGCCTTCATTAGAGAAAGGTAAAGGAACATACAGTGAACATACAGATTAATGTAGGTGTTGAACAGCAAACTCGTAGTGTAGTAACTCCCTCCCAGATGGTGTTAGGAGGAACTCACGTGGTGTAGTAGTTCCCTCAGATGGTGTTATGAGGGACCTGGCGTGGTGTAGTAATTCCTCACAGATGGTGTTATGAGGGCCTCACGTGTAGTAATTACCTCACAGATGGTGTTATGAGGGGCCTCACGTGGTGTAGTACCTCACTCCCTCACAGATGGTGTTATGAGGGACCTCACGTGGTGTAGTAATTCCCTCACAGATGGTGTTATGAGGGGCCTCACGTGGTGTAGTAATTCCCTCACAGATGGTGTTATGAGGGGCCTGACGTGGTGTAGTAATTCCCTCACAGATGGTGTTATGACGTGGGTAGTAATTCCCTCACAGATGGTGTGATGAGGGACTTGACGTGGTGTAGTAATTCCCTCACATATGGTGTTATGAGGGACATGTGGTGTAGTAATTCCCTCACAGATGGTGTTATATGAGTGAGGTTTGGTCCCAGGCCTTCCTATCGTAGACGGATTAACACATCGGTGGTTGTTGTTGGGTCTCGCGGGGGCCGTTATCACTGGGTACCTGGGACCTCACTGTGTGAAGGTCAACCCGGGTACGACTGTTACTGTTGAGTTGTTCTCACTGACTTAAGCACTGTTCACCACTGTTCACCTCGGTTTAACACTGGTTCCGTTCCTTTCCTAAATGAAATTGTAACTTCTGGCGAGAACTTGTTGATATTCCGGTGGGGAGGAGGGTTCAGGGGAGGGGGTTGGTATGGGCCAACTTAACAGTTGACCTGGCTGCTCTGAGAGGAGCGCCAGGTACGTCTTGACCCTTCGGTGGTCAAGGTGGGTGTTTATGGTGTGTGTGTGTGTGTGTGTGTGTCCTGCTATCATTATTTTAATGTTAATTCATCTGATGTTTAATACTATTGGACATATAAATATACCAAAATAATTTCCACACAGATGAGACCGACACATTAACATCAGCGGGGGAGGCGGTGGAGGCTGTGTTGGCACCAGCGTCACATACCCGCTGCTCTGTCTTCCTCCTCACTGACGGCATTAGCTTCACCTCTTCCATCTTAAATGTAAGAGAACTGGAGTTTATTAGAAGTTCTTACCCTTGTTTCAGGGAAGGAGATTAATTGATGTAATAGTGTTATGTGTGAGTGATGCTGCATTATTGGTGAGGCTACAAGAAAATAGTGTCAAAGATAGATGCAGCACCATGAGTTCAGGTAATAATGTTCTCTTACAAACAATTTCCGAGAAGTCAGCCAAATCAACTGCATTCGACCATAAACCACATAAGCCACTTATGTTTTCTTCACATACTCCAGAGTTTGGGTAGACTCTCGGTTCCCTGGGGTGTGGCGGTGTTCGAATTGGCAGTGGACGGCCAGGACGCTAATGTGACGCAGGCGCAGCTCTCCCGGGTGGTCTACGAGGCTCGGCGGGTAGGTCACTCTCACATTACTATTGAGGTGGGTAGGTCACTGTCACCTTACTACTGAAGCGGAAATGTCACTCTTACATTACTACACAGGCGGGTAGGTCACTCTCACGTTACTATAGTGAGGCGGGTAGATCACTCTCACATTACTACTGAGGCGGGTAGGTCACTTTCACATTACTACTGAGGCGGGTAGGTCACTCTCACATAACTTCTACCATGTTGACGTCAACAGCTGCGGCAGGTGTCATGGTGCGTGACGGTGGTGGTGGTGAGCAACGACGCAGCCTTCCTCGCCGCCTTCGCCGAGTGGTCCCTCAAGGGCCGCCTCCTAGTGTGGCCGACGAGGCTCCTCGTCGTCACCCGCCTGCACCTCCCGGAGCTCCACCACCTACACAAGTTACTCTCCATGACCAACTCCATGTTGCTTATTGTAGATGACGCAGCTATTTTTAAAAGGTTAGACTAAAGAGACTGTTTCTTTAATCAAGCTCTAAGTAGTTCAATGAATGGGTATTTCAAGTCTTTATTGGCAGGACTTAGTGCACCAATTTTCTTTCTTTCAGATATAAAGTATATATACACCTGCCTTATAATCCTCGGGGACCCCAGGTGATGCGAGTTGCGTCCTGGACACCCCAGAGAGGCCTTTCTCTTAAGACCCACCTCCCCCTCTTCCCGGATAAGTTCTTCAAGTGAGTATCCAGGCCAGATCTTTCATTATTTGGTTTAATTCAAAATCTCGGTTTCTGCAAATTATTATGCAGTAGATTAAGTTCAGAACCTGAGGATAAAACGTGTGTGAATGCATTATTATTTGTGTGTATGTGTGTGCATGCGCGTGTGCGTGATTGGTGGTGTTTTTAAATTTGTGCTTAATTTTATGTACAGTATGTGTGTGTCTGTCTCTGTTTATTCCCGAAGAAAAAAATATTAATTTTACTATTTGATTCGTAAACAATTGTAGACTTTGTTCACTTAACCAATATTCCCGTAGGTTACGCTTATGCTACATTGTTGCGCCTGACACACATAATGCTTATCCCCCAAACATCACCTGTTAACTGTTCACACAATCTGTTGCCTTGAGTACACACTATAGCTTTGAGTAAATTACTTTACATAATTGAGTACAAGAGTTCATACGCAGACTAAAATCTATAGTTAATCGTTTTCCACTGACTTAAGCCACATTCTGGTATTTTTCCTCTCTATAATTCCATCAGACAACAAGTCAGCGTGATAATATTTCATTATGTGGTATAAAATTATTACCACTACCTCCTTCTTTTCGACAAAATTACTTAATTCAAAAGCATCTCACTAGTGGCCTGATTTCATCATCTCTGTGAATCATTTGAAATATATCCATTTACATTCATGAAGATTCATGTCCATACCAAGCAAAGTAAAACATATTGTTATATTGGTAAGAAAGTGAACAAGATTTGTTTGTTGAGTTCCTTGGTGCAGGTCATAAAGTTGATAAACACATTTACAGTAAGTAGCAAAAGAAACATTTCACTCTATTTCGACAGATTCATTTCGCAGCCGAGGTTGGTGGTGACGATGGAGGAGGCAATGACAACCAAAGCCGTGACGAAGGCGGACCCTGAGGCTCCCGGGGGCCAGCGACTCTGGTTCACGGGAAGTGTACCGAACGTCATGGAGGCAATTGCAGAGAGTATCAATTTCTCGTGAGTTTTTGGACAGTGCCAAGCAAATCTCTGCCGGAAATTAATACTCTGTAAAAGTTGCGTTTGATATTTTCTTGTTAAGTTCAAGTTGCATCAGAACCAATATTTATATTAAGATTCTGTCCAGTATAAAGGCTACAGTATAAAGGTAGTTGGCAGATACCAAACAGGGATGATATTGGAAGCATAATGTGTTGTCTAATGGTAGACCCTGCTGCCATATAGACTCACAAAAATTGTGACCAAGTCCCAGGTTACTGATCTGACTTTATGCCTCATTTACACACAATTGCATGGTCTCAATTGTCTCTCTTACTATTGACAACACAATATATATAACTTTTCTCACTCTTGATCTGTTTTATTCTTTCTATTCTTTTATTTTCCAATGAAATCAGTTGACAATAATATTAAAGCGGGGTCTTCTCGGATGGGTCCCACTGGTCGGGAATATTGTGGACCCCAGGGCCGACCTGATCAGCATCAAACTACTGGTGCGTCAACTGACGTCACCGCGGTTGTTGAAGGATCGGCTTTTTTCACACTTCATTTTTCCAACATTCGCGGCCTGAGATCCAATTTTCCTTCTGTGGAGCACCATCTATTAACCTCTTCCCCCGACCTCATACTTCTACTGACCAAAGCAGCTACACCCAAACCTTTTCAAGTCTCCAACTACAATCTTTATACCTCCTTCCGTTCTAAGGGAGGTGTATGCGCCTATTGCAACACACATACACCTAAAGCTCGACTCACAGATCTTGAATCTTCTCTTATGATGTCATCTGGCTCAAAATATCTCTACCAACTATGACTATTGTTCAGTGTTTCCTATACTGTTCTCCCAACTCTATCAACTATTCGGAACTCTTTGACTATCTCACTTCTTGCCATGAGTCGTTGCTATCCACACACCATAACAACGAGATCCTCTACCTAGGGGATTTCAATGTACATCCCTGAGAGTGGCTTGGCTCTACAAGGGATGAGCCAGGTGGAGCTGAGGCACTCTCTTTTTTCCTTACTTAATGATATCGAACAAATAATTAAACACCCAATACATGTTCCAGTTCGACACGATCAACTTGTTAACATTCTTGATCATTGTTTTACCTCTAACCCCTCTCACTATTCATGCTCAATTTTTACCCCCTTTGGGTCTTCTGATCGCAATCTTATTTCTATTAAATCAAACTTGGCACGACCACCTCCCTCACCTCCCTCTAAACGTCAACTATGACACTATCGGAGGGCAAACTGGCAATCCTTGCGAGAATTCTTCTCTGACTTTCCCTGGGATGAATGTTGCTTTTCCACTCGGGACGCCTCGGTATGTGTTGACAGCTTTGGTGGGGTTATACTGGGTGGTATGAGTGCATTTATCCCAGCTTCTACCAAAACTTTCATTTTACAATCATGGTTTGATCACTCCTGTTTTCTTGCATGTAGGGAGAGAGAGATAGGGCGTATCAAGCAATGAAACTATATCCTTCTCCTGTTACCCACTCCTCGTTGTAATGCTCTTCTTCGGAGGGCCAGGCGGAATTTTATAAAAAGAAAGACCGCTGACATGACTAACTCTTCTTCTAGTAAATCCTTCTGGTTCTTATCCAAAAACATCTGTAATAACTTCTGCACTCCCTCTTTTCCTCCTCTCTTCCGACCGGATAACTCTATAGTCAACTTTCCCCCTAATGAAACCAATCTCTTTGACACCTTATTATCCTCTAACTCTACCTTAGACGATTCCCTTCAAATCCCTCCTACTCCTGCTCCTCTTACTGAACCTACAGTATGCACTTTCCTATAATCTCCACTCGTAGGGTTGCTGGTGTGCTATCCAGGTTGGATGTGAGTAAGGCGCATGGACCGGACGGAATACCCCCTTGTTCTGAGAGAGTAGGCTGAAATGCTGGCCCCTGTGCTTGCTCGCCTCTTTCGCCTTTGCCTTAAAGCCAAAACTTTTCCTTCTTCATGGAAGCATGCCTTGGTTCAGCCCATCCCGAAGAAGGGTGACCATTCTAATCCCTCTAACTATCGCCCCATTGCCCTAACTTCATCCCTCTCTAAGATTTTAGAAATTCTCTTAAACTTTCATTTTCTCTGTCACTTTAAACGCCATTCTCTTTTGTCGGATCACCAGTATGGCTTTCGCCAGGCGAGATCTACTGGTGATCTGCTCTCCTACTGCACCCATCTTTGGTAATCCTCTCTTAAGGATTAAGGGGAAACCTTCGTCGTGGCTCTCGATATCTTCAAAGCATTTGACAGGGCATGGCACAAGTCTTTACTTTCTAAACTTCCGATCCATGGCAGTTATTGTCGAGGGATCTATCTCTCGCTCTTTCTCTACCAATAATGGTGTCCCACAGGGTTCTGTTCTTTCTCCTACTCTCTTCCTTCTTTTTATCAATGATTTACTTCACACGACGGCTAATTCTATCCATTCTTATGCAAATGATTCTACTCTTCACTCTTCTTCACATTTTCCCCTTCACCCTCATTCTCAAACTAGATATATTTCTAGAACTGGTATAATTTCATCTCAATGCGGATCAGTGCAGCATCTCCGGATGGTGAGGTAGAACTTTGGTTAAATTCAATAGTAATGAAACACAATATTTGCCAATTACGCTTTCCAAAATAGATGATCTCCCACCAATCACATTTCAGGACGCTATCATTCTGCCAAATTCTAAAATATATATGCTAGGCCTCACCATTTCCTATAATATGTCATGGACGCCACACATCCACAAAATTGCTAAAGCTGCCTCCCGAAAGCTGGGAATGCTGAACAGATGCCATAGCTACTTCACTCCTGAGCAGTTGCTTCAAGTATATAAGGGATTCATTCGGCCGAACTTGGAGTACTGCTCTCATATCTGGGGTGGCTCTTCTCCTGGCCAACTGTTAGATAGGGTGGAATCAAAGGCAATTTACTCACAACATGGGTTTACAAAGGGAAAATCTTGTCATACAAATCTGCTGACGTTTCTTAGGAAGGTCTTCGAGGTAGTAGATAAGGACGAAAATTATGGTGTTATTTACTTAGACTTTAGCAAAGCGGTTGACAGAGTACCACATCAGAGGCTACTAAGAAAAGTTAAGGCTCATGGTATCGAGGGGAAAGTTTTAAATTGGATAAAATCGTGGCTCACCGATAGAACATAGAGGGTCAGCGTAGATGGTGTTAAATCTGAGTGGGGCTGTGTAACCAGTGGGGTTCCCCAGGGGTCAGTACTTGGCCCACTCTTGTTCATAATCTACATAAACGATCTAGATACTGGGATCCGCAGTGACATAAGCAAGTTTGCGGATGACACCAAAATAGGGCGGCAGATTAATTCAGGGCAGGATGCAAATGCACTACCGGAGGATTTAAATAAACTACAGGAGTGGTCAGAGAAATGGCAAATGAAATTCAACACCAGCAAGTGCAGCGTACTTAATATTGGAAGAACAAATACTGTCAATGTATACAGCCTTAACAACATCAACCTAGAGAGGTCGACTTGTGAAAGAGACCTAGGGGTACTTGTAAGCCCGGACCTACGGCCTAGAAAACAGTGCGTTAATGCTCGAAATAAGGCAAACAGAGTATTAGGTTTTATATCTAGAAGTGTAAGTAATAAGAGTGCAGAGGTCTTATTGCAACTATATCTTGCGTTAGTCAGGCCGCACCTCGATTATGCGGTTCAGTTCTGGTGCCCTTATTATAAAATGGATATCAATTCACTGGAGTCGGTGCACCGAAGAATAACGAAAATGATTCCGGGGCTTAGAAAAATACCATATCAAGATAGGTTAAAGAAACTAAACTTGCATTCCCTAGAAAGACGGGAGAGTGCGGGGAGATATGATAGAAGTATTTAAGTGGGTGAAAGGAATCAATAAAGGGGATATAGATAAAGTTCTTATAATATCCGAGGAGGATAAGACTCGTAGCAACGGATTTAAGTTGGATAAGTTTAGGTTTAGGAGGGAGATAGGAAGGAACTGGTTCACAAATAGGGTGGTGGACGAGTGGAACAAGCTTAGCAACTTTGTAGTAAGTGCTGGAACGCTGGAAAGTTTTAAAAGAAGGCTAGATAGATTCATGGATGATAGAGAGTGGTTGCAACTCTCGACAGGAGCTGCCATGCACAGGCCAACGGCCTATTGCAGACTCCTTATTTTCTTATGTTCTTATGTAATTCGTCTTATTAACTCCCCTCCTTTAGCTGATAATCTCTCTTCCCCTTCTCTATGCTGCAATGTTGCTTCATTCTCTCTCTCTTACAGGTACTTTACCGGGCAATGTTCGGTGGATTTGGCATCCTGGATACTTCCGGCAAGGCCGTGGGCTCGTAACACTCGTCTTGCTCGCGGTGCCCACCGTTTCTCTGTGAATGTCGGTCACACTAGAATAACCCGTTATAGTACATCCTTCTTTTCTCACACAGCCTAACTGTGGAATGCTCTTTCCTTCTTCTGTGTTTCCATACTCATACAATCTGTCTCACTTTAAAAGCTGGTTTTCCGGCATCTTCGTATAGATTAATATATTTTTTCTCTTCTATTTCTAACTTCTTTTTACTCCTATTTTTTCGCCCCCTAGGGTCCCTTGTGTGTGTGTGTGTGTGTGTGTGTAATAATAATAATAAACGGTTTATTGAAAAAGTTTGCAGCCCGAAGGCTGAAAATATACATTGGACATAAATGACTTATTACATACATTGGTGGTTTAACAAAAGCCTTCATTAGAGAAAGGTGAAAGAACATATACAGTGAACATACAGATTAATGTTTACACACGTAGATCATGTGAGCTGAGGTGATGAACAGCAGACACATAGTGTAGTAACTCCCTCACAGATGGCGTTATGAGGGGCATCACGTGGAGTACTAGTTCCCTCACAGGTGGTGTTATGAGGGGCTTGATGATGTAGTAATTCCCTCACAGATGGTGTTACGAGGGGCCTGATGATGTTGTAATTCCCTCACAGATGGTGTATGAGGAGCCTGATGATGTAGTAGTTGTGTGTGTGTGTGGCCATAAACGATAATGTTTCATACAAAACCGAACCTAACCTAACATTTGTTTTATTTTTTTTATTTTGTTTTACGGGTATTAGTCCATCCGGGCACAAGTCACCGACCCATATCGGGGCCTGGGGGGCGAAAATTTAATAATAATAATAATAATAATAATAATAATAATAATAATATATCATAGCAAATAAAATAAATTTATTAAAAAATTAAAAATTAAAAATATAATAATAATAATTCATAGTAAATAAAATTTACAATAAAAGTAAAATGATAAAATTATAATAACAATAATAACAATAATAATAATAATAATATTAATAATAATAATAATAATAATAATAATAATAATAATAATAATAATAATAATAATAATAATAATAATAACAATAATAATAATAATAATAATAATAATACTACTACTACTACTACTAATAATAATAATAATAATAATAATAATAATAATAATAATAATAAAGAACTGTAAAGAAATAAAAAATAAAAAGAATCAATAATGAGAAACGATATATATACAGTATGTATGTTGCGTTGTCAATAGTAGGAGAAACAATTGAGACCCTGCAATTATGTGTAAATGAGACAGAAAGTCAAATCATCTACCTGGGACTTGGTCACAATTTTTGTGATGCCATATGGCAGCAGGGTCTACCATTAGACAACACATTATGCCTTCAATATCTTCCCAGGAGGTAGTACCTCCCTGTTTGACAGCTGCCTACTATCCTAACCTAACATGCTTTATGATGGTAATCCGCGCTTCACACGAAACAGAACAAATTCGACCATGTACGAATCAATTTCCATTGACTTAGAGCAATGAAAACAAAATGTCATCCCTATTCGTCCAAACCTTCATTTACTTTTTAAGGTTAAAGCGGCAGTTGTCCTTGTGGTGCGGTGGTAGCGATCCTTGTTCACACACTAGAGGTCCAGGGTTTGATTCCCGACTATTGAGGTATTGTTTGTATATGGAAGTCCGCGTGCTACATAGATAAAGCCTAGGATTGCTTTTGTTGTCCTTGTGGCGTGGTGGTAACGTTCCTTGTTCGCACTCAGAGGTCCAGGGTTTGATTCCTGACCAGTGATGTGTTGTTTGTATATATATAATAGTAGAACAAAAATAACATACACAATTACATGGCTAAATTTTCTGTTTTGGGGGGCAAACTATTATATTTCAATATGTGCGTCCTCCCTTTGTAGCTGTGAATAGACAATTACCTAACCGTTGGAAGGGGCGCGGGGATCCCATTAATTGGCCACCTTGTTCGCCTGACCTCACTCCCCTTGACTTTTTCCTTTGGGTCTATGTTAAATGTGAAGTGTTTGTTCCACCAATGCAACATCTTTGGAGCAGTTGATGAACAGGATCCTAAATGCTGTTCTTAAAGTTAACGTCAATATACTAGACAATGTGTGGAGAGAAATAGATTATCGTTTCGATGTTTGTAGAGCCACAAAAGGTTCACATATTGAAACATCATAGACTGCGAAGAAAACTTTAGACAATGTTTTGTGATTATGTATGTTACTTCTAGCTCTACCATTGTTAGTTTGTCTAGAATAAATATTTGAAATCAGGAAGATCATTTGTAGTCACCCGGTATATAATACACCGTAATGCTCAACACACCAAGGTCTGAAATCTCATCTCATATATTTAATCATCTTTGTTTTCTTCTCTGACAAAGTATTTACTTCCATAGTCACTGTGCTTATTTATTAAGGGATCGACTTTTTTTTTAATTGTAAGCGGAACTAAATCTTCATGATAAGTGATGTAACAAACAAGTTTAAACTTCATCGCGTTGTTCATCAGATACACGTACGTGCGCTCTCCAGATCGGACTTGGGGTACCAAACTCCCAAACGGTTCCTGGTCAGGCATGATGGGCGTGGTGACCAGAGGGGTAAGTGTGGTTAGGTTGTTCCATATAAAAGGAGACGGTCCATAACTGAACACTCATTAAGGTTATGAGACTAAATGGTTAAGTACAGTCTCGTTCAAGATTCTTCGAACACTGTTGGAGACAGCTGGCAACTCAAGGCCGTTTGTTTACTATAGTACATTGTATAATATAATACGAAACAACAAAGCCCAGCCATTAATTAAGCAACGGGGAACTAAGTAACCAATCACCGTTAAAATTATATATTCATTCATAATTTTTACTAAGTACTATAGTAAACAAACGGCCTTGAGTTGCCAGCTGTCTCCAACAGTGTTCGAAGAATCTTGAACGAGGCTGTACATGTCAGAGTATAGATCAACCTGCATGAATAAGCTACGTGTATTTTCTTAGATCAAATTTTGATTACACACACACACACACACACACACACACACACATAGAACACACACACACACACACACACACACACACACACACACTTTTATTTTTATTATATACATATGGTTTGAAGAAAATGTAAACAGAGAATGACCTTACTTCCTGTGTAATATCAGGACACACTGTGTTTCTGTGTCTGTCCCTCCACCCATCACGATGAGGGTTATCACTTTCTGTAAGCTACCTGCCAGTAACCAATGAACTTACACAAAAGATTATACATACAGTACCGTAGACAGGTAGGGTGCTATAGAAGTTCAAATTTAGTTTTGACCTTCACCTTTGTATGTCACCTTATCAAGGTCACAAAGTCATAATCCTCTTCAGGAGACATAGACATGCCGAGCAGTATTTCCTTACTATACAGTAGTCATGTCTTGTCACTTATTTCTTTACTAAAGGCAAAAAAGGAGCATAACAATTTTTATAAACTATGACACCAGATTTAAATTATTGACAATTTATAATCCAACATATGAATATTCCAAGAGAGATTATGTGTATATGCTGGAGACACTTATACCAAGGCTTGGAGCTCCTCCTACTATTGCAATAATTCTTAGATTAACCGCTTTGTTCTATACTGAAACAGGATGAAGAGCACGTACGAGTAGTTACTATTTACAGGAAGCAGACATCGGTCTTGGCTACTTCATCATGACTGTCAGCCGGGCTGAGGACGTGGACTTTACGTGGCCAATGATCGTATCATATTCAGGAATCGTGGCTCCTCGAGGAGGGGCGGAGGTAGACCCGTGGGGCTTCCTACTGCCTCTACAGCCACTGGTGTGGACGGCCATCCTCACGGCCCTGCTAGTGTTGTCTTCAGGAATATCTCTTCTTGACGTTTGCCATTCTCGAAAATTTGTGAATGGAGGAAGTAGGACGATGGATGCCTACGACCTACTTCGTGTTTTACTACAGCAAGGTAATGTTCAGGTTTTACAACACCGGAAATTATCTCCTACAACACTGAAGCAAATAATTTTAACCAGAGTTTATATTATCATAATTTCGCGGCTAATCAGTCTTTCGTTTATTTCAGACATCTCGAAACTCTCCAACCGGTGGTGGTGGGAACGACTGGTGTTGGCGGTGTGGATGTTAATGACCCTGGTGTTAACACGGTCCTACGCCGGCAATCTCATGGCTCTCCTGGCCGTGAGACACATCTCAGAGCCTTACAAAACGCTTCGAGAGGTGCTGGATGACCCATCTGTGACCATGATATGGCAAGAAAATTCAGCTAACGTGCAATATTTTCGTGTAGGTCATGGATTTATGCAAGTTTGACCTGGTTGGAAAAGAAATGTCTGTCTATAAAATAGCGCGATTCTTCTTATTCTACTAAAAACAGACTCCTCCAACATAATAGTTTTATCTTTTAATGACCCATCCTTGCCATGATTACTTTCGGCTACTATGCAAATTTTATTATACTATTTGCCTTGTAATAGGGGTGCTTCGGCCGAGTTGATATAGCGCTCGCCTCCTGTCCTAAGCTTTAATTGTTCGAGCCCGGGGCACCCCCAGTTCACCAAGCTGTAAATAGGTAACTAACTTCACAACTAGAGATTGTTTAAGCCGCCCACTTTGTTTCCCTTTGTATCGAAGAAACATTGGTCAGTTGTATGGTGTATCGAACGCACCACAACGGGACCACCCCTTCACCTTAAAGTCACCTTTAAACGCCAAGGAAACTAAAGCTATTCGTTTCATCATCGCCAGAACTTCACTTCCTCCTAACCTCTCACAGTCTGTTTAAGATCCAATTAGTCAAACTTAATTGTCGTTCACCTCTTTTATTCCTTATTTGTCTCTCCACATTTTTTATCTAAATACAATTTGCAACTTTAATTATAGGGCACAATATATTATTATACTGTGTACGACATCTTTTTTTATTCACAGAGAATTAATAAACGCCAAGTTGAAAATAGTCTACTAGTTATGTATACTATTATATTAGTATCTCGCTTAGTCTATGTGAGTGTAAAAAGAAAACTATTGGGAGTTAAAGTATCCAATTTATTTCATGAATATAACATTTAGTTTCCATCAAAACGGTTGAGATATCACTTCCATCCAATTATATGTCTCCGGGAGGTTTACAGTTACCATCATCCTCCAGAGCGCAGATCAAGGCATGTTCCGGGAGGTGAGAGAGGCGGAGACCGCAGGGCGTGTTAAGTTCCTTCAGCCGAGTGACTACAACAAGAAGGTGCCGGTACTGCTCAGGCGGGGCGACCACGTTCTCATAGATGCAGAGATCCTCTTGAAGCCTTTCAAAGCTGAAGCATTCTCTAGCACAGGTTCATTTGGTGTTCAGAAGTTGCATGATATTCGCACGAGTTCTTATGATGCTAAAATGTTCATAGAGTTTTTTCGTCTTCAACGTTGTTATAATATAAACTGGTGCGGCGGCTGAATGGATGAAACGCTCCCCTCCTTTCCGATTGGCCTTTGGATCGATTCCGGCCTATTCCAGTCCACCTTGCTATAAATGAGTACCAGCTTTACAAATTGTGGAAGTGACAGTCAAATGCACCGACAGCCACACAGCCTCTTATTAAAGAAATTAGCATACAGTGTGAGATATATAAAATGTTCCTAACTGACTTTGTATTATATCTTGCTAATGTTCTTATGTTCTTTATAATATTCACGTTTCTGGCTGCAGTCTAGAATTTTATTTTAGTTTCTTTATCTTCTATATATGATATGTCTGTCTTTTTATCTTTATCTGTCTCTCTGTATATCAGTAATTCGTTTCCTTTCTCTGTTTTTCTGATTTATTCTTAGACTGTTTGTTTCTCGTCTCTCTCTTATATATGAAGTTCCCCCCCCCCTATTGCTCTACTTCATTTCTTTCCCTACCATTCTCTCTCCCCCTTCATCTCGGTCTCTCCATTTTTCTTTCATTCTCCCACCTTAATACATGTCATTCTCTTTCCTGTTTTTCGTCAATTATTTACTTGCTTTAACTTCAAGTTCTACAAGTACCACAACTTATTAACAATATTTCTCCCGAACACTAATGCAGAACCTGTATGTCTTCACTAGGCCGCTGTGACTTCCACACCTCCAGAGAGCATTACCTGACCATAATAGCTGGTTTGATAACGCAGATGAACAGCCCTCTTCTACCTGCCCTGCATAATAGGTGATTGAGTATTCTATAGTCCTTGGTGTGTCTATGTGGGGAGAGGGAGGTTAAGATTTAATAATGAATAGGAAAACTGGGGAATCGACAAATATTTGGACCCAGACAGAGCAGTCTATGGGGCACAATTAGACCAACAAGTGTTGTGTATATGGTATACATAAGCTTTTAACTAAAAATAATTAAAAATACTTGTTTAATACGATTGGATAATGCTTTAATAATAAAGGAAACAATGTGGTTGTCTTTTTACTAATACTTAAGGAATTTATAAGTCTTCATTATTTTCAAAGAAAAAATTATCAGTACTCTATATATTCAATTTGCGTAATTGAAAGGAAGAATATACTACTTTAAGAAATGACTCCAAGTGCCATAATTCTCTGTTCTCTGCAATATTTTGCATACTGTACTTTCTACATCTATGTAAAGGCCCCTGATGCCTCTCAAATATCAACTAACTTTGGCCTGGAACTCTGAGGGCACATATTGAGTATGTTGTCCTCAAGCAGTCGCTGGTACTTGGGTGAATACTTAACAAATATGTAGTCTCGTTCAAGATTCTTCGAGCACTGCTGGAGACAGCTGGCAACGCAAGGCCGTTTGTTTACTGTAGTACGTAGTAAAAATTATGAATAAATGTAAAAGTGATCGATGATTGGTTGCTTAGTTGCCCGTTGCTTAATTATTTTTACCAGACATATTTATTGTACTATAACAACCCTGATCTGTTCCATGTAAGGCGTCGTTTACTATTACAGTATAAAATAATACAATTATACCTAAAGTAGGTTAGATAAGGTTAGGTTAGGTTAGGTTAGGTTAGGTTAGGTTAGGTTAGGTTAGGTTAGGTTTGGTTAGGTAAGGCTCGGTTAGGTTAGGTTAAGTTAGATTGTGCTAGGTTAGGTTAGGTTCGGTTCGGATGAGGATAGGTAAAGTTAGGTTAGGTTACGTTAGGTTCGGTTTTCTATGAAACTTTCCATATACTGTACATATATTTTCACGATCTACCTGATGGTATATTACCCGTCAGAAATTTCTAAAAAGGATAAATAAATAGACGTCTTAGAAAATCGGCAATTATCCCTATTTAACGTAACACACACACATGGTGTATATATATATTACAGAATATTGCGAATATTGGAATCTGGATTATATGATCAGTGGACGAAGGAGATCACTCCAAACTCCACATCGTGTGCCCACCCACCGACCAAGATCACTGTCAACACCTCTCTCTCCATCACCAATATCTGGGTATGATTGGCACCATTAATATTAAAACAGCGATATACTATTTCTTATTATCACAAATTAATATATTTAAAATATAAATTTAACCTAACACTTATATTTATTGATTAATTCTTGTTGTAGTTTAAACACTTGCAGTACAGTATGTAACATCAATTACCGTACAATTTTATTCTTTCCCTTATTAAATATTATTTGAATCTTTTTTTTTTATAACAATATCATTTCCTAAGGAATTTTATCTCAACACATTTAGTTTCATTAGCAATAGTTTACTTGTTTCCTCAGGTAATTAAATTGTGTGCCTATTCCAGGGGATGTTTGTGGCTCTCGGTACTGGACTCGCTTTAGGACTGCTGATGTTTGTCCTCGAGTTCCTCACCAGTTGTCCTCCTCGATTATAAAGTTCCTCTCCAAACGTTGCCAAGAAAGTTTTGCTTTTGCCCTTTATATTTTATTATCAGTCAATAATTTTCTAGTATTTATATAGTGTTTTTTTAATTTGGTGATATTTATGTCGTTTGTAGACTTAGAAAAATAGATTTGAGGAAATTTGGCTTTTGTTTATACCAATACAGTATACATGTTCTACAGCCAATATCCCTTTACTTACAGTAGAAGGAGATTTACACAGTTAAATTATTCATATGTATTGATTACCTTATAAAGGGGGCAGCTTCCACTCTCACCATTTATAAAGGGGCGGATATCTTATTAGTGTTTTCTTCAACCTGCTTTTCTCTTAATTTCTTACTTCATTTATTTTCTCCATTAGTTCTGTTTAGTTATTTCATTTCATATTTATTTCATTTCATATAGTTACTTCATAACCTCTGACCTTTGGTAGCATGGCGAGGGTTAGGGCACATGGGTATGGTAATTCTGGTATCAAGTTATTGGACAAGAATAAAGGTAGATACTGAGGTAAAATGATACCCCTAACAAACTAACATACTGGTTTATTAATATGAAATTAAATTTGGTTAAAGGTGTCATTAACATACAATCGTTCTATTATTTCTTTGACAAGTAAGAAGGTTATTTAACACGCTCACATAGGACTGGATCCTTAGGTCTTACTTTACAAGTAGCAAAATAGATCTTCAATTCTTGGTTACAACATTAAACAATCATTATATTATTCCGTTGTCAATACACATGGTTCTTTGACACCCTTGACAATATCCCAAATTAACATATTTATAACATCATGTTATTTGGGAATGAACAACATGGCACTTTTACTAGAACTCAGTACATATGAATGTTGTACTTACAAGTCACATAACACGTTATTACTGGTAATATCAAATTTATGGGTTCACTACTCAACATGGGATAACTATATTTCTGCTAGTTATCCCCAATCATGTTTAGCAATGCTGCTTGGTACAAATAACTGTGAGTAGCACACCAAGGCCAGTCACTGGTGCTACACCAACAAATGTACCACGCTGTTAGGGTCGGTTGCAGTCCGACACACTGCGAGGGAGTTCATCCAGCGGGCTTAGTTCTCAGGGTGCGGGACTAGCTCAATTCAATCTTGCCGAATTAACGACACCCTGCAAGACAGCCAGCTGGTAAGCAGCTACCGGTCCCCGGTAGTTGCCGGGTATTCAGCTAACACCCACACTGTGCCTGGAGATGCGTTGAGGAAGAGTCAAGAGCATGTTAAATTGGTCTAACTTCAACTACAAATAACATACGTCTGGCAACGATACTTATGTTACTATAATTATACTTGGCACACGATCATTTCACTATGTTAAAACATGAACACTGATATTCACAAAATTCAACTGAGTTAAACTGACTTAACATGAGGGCGGGAAATAAACGTTCACATACCTGGAGATGCGATGTGGAAGGGTCACGAGCGTGTGAGTTGGTTGGGTTGGCGATACAGAGAGAAGAGAGCATTAGCTCTAAGGGTGCAAGAAGGGTACAGTACAAGGTAAAATTCAGAAGTGGGGAATATAACAACATAAGAACATAAGAAAATAAGGAGTCTGCAATAGGCCGGTTGGCCTGTGCATGGCAGCTCCTGTCGAGAGTTACTACCACTCTCTATCATCCATGAATCTATCTAGCCTCCTTTTGAAACTTTCCAGCGTTTCAGCACTTACTACAAAATTGCTAAGCTTGTTCCACTCGTCCACCACCCTATTTGTGAACCAGTTTCTTCCTATCTCCCTCCTAAACCTAAACTTATCCAACTTAAATCCGATGCTCCGAGTCCTATCCTGCTCGGATATTATAAGAACTTTATCTATATCCCCTTTAATGATTCCTTTCACCTACTTAAATACTTCTATCATATCTCCCCACACTCTTCGTCTTTCTAGGGAATGCAAGTTAAGTTTCTTTAACCTATCCTGATATGGAAGGTTTCTAAGTCCCGGAATCATTTTTGTCATTCTTCGCTGCACCGACTCTAGTGAATTGATATCCATTCTATAATAAGGGCACCAGAACTGAACCGCATAATCGAGGTGCGGCCTGACTAGCGCAAGATATAGTTGCAATAAGACCTCTGCACTCCTGTTACTTACACTTCTAGATATAAAACCCAATACTCTGTTTGCCTTATTTCGAACATTAACGCACTGTTTTCTAGGCCGTAGGTCCGGGCTTACAAGTACCCCTAGGTCTCTTTCACAAGTCGACTTCTCTAGGTTGATGTTGTTAAGGCTGTATACATTATCAGTATTTGTTCTTCCAATATTAAGTACGCTGCTGGTGTTGAATTTCATTTGCCATTTTTCAGACCACCCCTGCAGTTAATTTAGATCCTCCTGTAATGCATTTGCATCCTGCCCTGAATTAATCTGCCGCCCTATTTTGGTGTCATCCGCAAACTTGCTTATGCCACTGCTGATCCCAGTATCTAGATCGTTTATGTAGAGTATGAACAAGAGTGGGCCTAGTACTGACCCTTGGGGAACCCCACTGGTTACACGGCCCCACTCAGATTTAAAACCATCTACGCTGACCCTCTGCGTTCTATCGGTGAGCCATGATTTTATCCAATTTAAAACTTTCCCCTCGATACCATGAGCCTTAATTTTTCTCAGAAGCCTCTGATGCGGTACTCTGTCAAATGCTTTGCTTAAGTCTAAGTAAATAACATCGTAATTTTCGTCATTATCTACTACCTCGAAGACTTTCCTAAAAAACGTCAGCAGATTTGTTAGACAAGATTTTCCCTTTGTAAATCCATGTTGCGAGTCATAGATTAATTTGCTTTTCTCTAGATGCGATCGGATGCTATCTGCTATAATTGATTCAAGAAATTTCCCCACTACTGACGTCAAACTGATCCGCCGGTAATCTGACGCTGATGCTCTGTCTCCCTTTTTGAATATGGGTACCATTTGCCTGTTTCCACAAGTCTGGCACAACTCCGGTGTCTAATGATTTTATAAATAAATTTACAAAGAGTCCGCTAATCTGTTCCCAACACTCTTTCAAGACTCGAGGGAAAATTTCATCCTGCCCTGGGGATTTTGTCTTCTTTAGTTTATTTATCCTCTTAAGAACATCCTCTTTTCTGATAGTGATATTCTTTAATTTCTCTTCTTCCTTTCCCCTAAATATCAGTTCCACCTCTGGAATTTCCTCGCCGGCCGGCCGGCTATGCACCTGACTACTGTTAAACAACATCACCGGGCAGTGAGGTACTGTGTGACACCACCCCACACCACATGGTGTCCCCATGACTATGTGAGGTCCTTCATATCAACACCAGAGGACGAGTCACTGTACCACGTGAACACCACACCACCCGGTGTCTCTATGATCACGTGAGGTCCTTCACATCGACACCCGAGGACGACTTACCACACCACGTGAGCACCACACCACCCGATGTCTCCATGACCAAGTGAGGTCCCTCATTTCAACATCCAAGGACGAGTTACCACACCACGTGAACATCACACCACCTGATGTCTCCATGACCACGTCAGGTCCCTCATATCAACACCCGAGGACGAGTTACTGCACCACGTGATAACCTCACCACCTGGTGTCTCCATGACCAGCCCAGGCCCGGACCATCAACTGTAAACTATAATAATTTGTATGTTCAATCATTGTTCCTTCTACTTTTAGTAATGAAAGCTGTTGTTAAACAACCCACCCACCCCATGTCTTTGTATGTAATAAGTCATTTTTGTCTAATGTATATTTTAAGCATTCGGGCTGCCGACTTTTTCAATAAACCGTTAATTATTATTATTATTATTATTATTATTATTATTATTATTATTATTATTATTATTATTATTATTATTATTATTATTATTGTAGGTTATGTATCTATGCTACTGTGCCAAGTAGCAACCTTGTAAATAAGCTACTGTGCCGAGTAGCATCTATGTATAATT